CTACGTTGACGCGGTTCCCCCTCCTGGGGCGAACATCGTCAGTGGCATGTGGATCTTCAGGGTGAAGCGGCCGCCGGGCTCTCCACCTGTCTTCAAGGCGCGGTACGTCGCTCGTGGCTTCAGTCAGCGGCAGGGAGTTGACTACTTTCAGACCTTCTCTCCCACCCCGAAGATGACCACTCTTCGGGTGCTACTGCACATAGCCGCTCAGCGCGACTACGAGCTCCACTCTCTTGACTTCAGCACTGCTTTCTTGCAGGGTAGCCTGCACGAGGAGATCTGGCTGCGCCGTCCACCTGGCTTCACTGGGACTTTCCCTCCTGGCACCCAGTGGAGCCTCCGACGGCCAGTCTACGGTCTCCGCCAGGCACCGCGTGAGTGGCACGACACACTGAGGACTACGCTTGCGGCTCTTGGGTTTGCTCCCTCTACTGCTGACCCGTCGTTGTTTCTGCGCACCGACACTTCTTTGCCGCCGTTCTACATCCTCGTGTACGTCGACGACTTGGTCTTTGCCACAGCTGACACTGCTGGACTAGCCTACGTGAAGTCCGAGCTGCAGAAGAGACACACGTGCACAGACCTGGGTGAACTGCGCAGCTACCTTGGCTTGCAGATCACTCGGGACAGAGCACGCCGCACCATTACCTTGACTCAGTCACACATGGTGCAGCAGGTCCTTCAGCGCTTCGGCTTCACGTACTCCTCGCCTCAGGCCACTCCTCTGTCTACTCGCCACTCGCTCTCAGCTCTGCCTTCGGATGAGTCCGTAGAGTCGAGTGGCCCGTACCCAGAGCTTGTTGGTTGCCTCATGTACCTGATGACCTGCACACGACCTGACCTTGCATACCCTCTTAGCATTCTTGCACGCTATGTTGCTCCTGGGAGACACCGACCAGAGCACATGGCTGCAGCGAAGAGGGTGTTGCGCTACTTGTGCAGTACGTCGGGCATGGGGCTAGTGCTTGGAGGGCGGAGTCCAGTGGTCCTCACTGGGCACGCGGACGCTTCTTGGGCTGACGACCAGGCTACGCAGCGGTCGTCGCAGGGTTACACCTTCAGTCTTGGTTCCGGCTCTGTCTCGTGGCGGGCTACACGCTCGTCCTCTGTTCTCGGCTCCAGTTGTGAGGCTGAGATCTACGCCGGGGCCATGGCTGCACAGGAGCTTCCCTTGCTCACCTACCTGCTGACTGACCTTGGAGAGCCGCCTCGTTCTCCTCCAGTGCTGTACGTAGACAACAAGGCCATGCTGGCCTTGTGTCGAGAGCAGCGCTTGGAGCACAGAACGAAGCACATTGCTCTCCGTTACTTTCTTGCTCGTGAGCTGCAGCAGCGTGGTCAGTTGCGACTTGCGTACGTGGCCTCTGAGGCCAACACTGCTGATGTGTTCACCAAGGCACTTGCGCCTTGTGACCATCAGCGCTTCTGCACTCAGCTGGGTCTTGTACCTGTCTTGCCTCACTTGCTCTCCTCTTGACCTTGCTTGTACTGTCACATATATATACCTGCTCTTGCTTGTCTAGCTCTATATATATATGTGTGCACTCCTGCATGTGAACTGGCCTTGTGGCCTTGTCGTTGTGCTCGGACTGTGTGGTGACTTTGTGATCCACCCTGAGCTTGCTGTGCTTTGTGTGACTGGTCTTGTGACCCCTTGTTCTCCCCCACTTTGCCTATGGGGGTGTGTCAGAACATATATATAGCTTATGCTGTTGTGTAGGCTATAGTGGGGTATCCCATAGGGGGTACAACCCAATTAGGGTTTCCTATATGTACTCACTTCATTCATAGTTCATCCATTCGCTTTCTCCTTTTCTCATCAACATCACTTACTCTCCAGAGGCCATCCACCTCTCAGCAGCCAAGTATGCTGAAGAACTTGGCAAACGCTTCAACATAGCACCTGCACCACTCTCCAACCCTTACCGCACTCCAGGACCCAACCACAAGCCTCACAACAAAGCCATGTCCCCTACTGGACTTCAGACTTACCAGCAGCAGTTGGGATGTCTACTCTTCGCTTCAGTTACCTGCAGGCCAGACCTCTCGTACATCGCGAGTCAGCTAGCCCAGTACTCCCGCAAACCAACAGCTGAAAATCTCCTAGATCTCCACGGGCGCTTCAATTCTTCATCTCCACGCCCAATGTTGGGCTCTGCTATTCCACCATCCCAACCGCGTCATTCAACCTCATCGGCTATGTGGACGCCGATCATGCTGCTGACCCCGACAATCGACGGTCCAGGACAGGCTTCCTTTTCCGCCTCGAGCCCAACGGCCCCATCTCCTGGAACTCACAAAAGCATGAGCTGGTTGCTCAGTCATCGGCGGAAGCTGGGTTCATCGCAGCAACAGCAGCTGTTCGCGAAGGACTCTATCTTCAGGAGCTGCTGCAGGAAGCGAAAATTCCAGCATCTGCGAACTTTCGCCTGCACTGCGACAACCAGAGCGCGATCAGGATTGCGAACAAGCCAGGATTCGTCAACCGCACCAAACACATCGTGCTGCGGTACTTCTTTGACAAAGACGAAGTTGACAAGAGCAAGGTTGACCTAACCTACTGCCCGACGGGTGATATGGCAGCCGGTTTTCCGACAAAGAAACTGCCGCGACAGCAGTACCAGCACTGCTCCGAACTCAGCGGAGTGGTCAAGCGGGTCAAGACCTGCTACGGCCAGGAGTGAAGGGGGGTGTTACGAATAGTGAGTTATGAATGAACTATTGTGCACTCCTTACCGCAGCAAGCGAAGAAGACACTGCCGCGGATGAAGACGAAAAGGCAGAAATGACGCGAAGGGTCGTACGGTCACGGAAGGATCTGGACCGTCGGGCAGACGGCATCAAGCAGCAGCAATGGCGAGGATTCTGCCCGAACGGTTTCGTAACCACCTGGAGTCGCACGGTTAAGTTTCGTTGTAATGAGGGAATGTACCCCTTAGAGTACATGGCTAGCTAGGTCGTTTCGTATTCCCCTGTACTCTTATTTATATTTCATGTATTTGCATGTTTTAATATTATCTCAAGCATTTTACATCCACTCTGCTATTGAGGTCAAGGGCCCACAACCACTACTCAGTCTTGTGCGAACCTTCCCGAGGTTGTCCTAGGCACGATCACTTTCTGATCGCAACAGATCGAACGTGCGAGTCCGAAAGTGGGGGTTGTACGCGGAAGAGGCAACCCCGTTTTAGGAAAAGAGTTTTGCATAGATTGAGCTCGTAAGGGCGCGGTGCATTTGGCGCAAATCCCGAAGTTTGCTTTTTTGATTCGATTTCATCCTTTTTTTAAGCTCGATTGAGTGGTCGAAAAGTTGATTTCACAAGGTTCAAGCCACGGGGCCGATTTCTGGTAGGTCAGAATGTGACCAGCGAGGGTCGAAAAACGAGAATCGACTCTCGCCGAGCCGCGATAATCAATCTAGGTTACCCGATTAACCTACGTGGCTCTAACGTCTTTGTCGAAGTATCAACTGTAGATGTCGTCAAGTTTCGTTGTGTTCGTGAAGCTGCTAAAATGACCACGTTCGTAAGCACGGCTCGAATGCACGTTCGAACACGCGGTCGACTGTTTGTCCGGTTACTTGACTTACGAGTCAGTTTTCGAACATGACCTGGTTGCGTGCGAAGACTATTACGACATTCACGAACTCAGTAACCAGCTCAAGTTCGACCTGTTTTTCGAACTTAGATTCAAAAGCACCGCGCCCTAACAGTTTGGTAAAATTGATGTACCCGATATGGAGGTGTTGAGTAAGGAGTCCGGAAATTTTCTTACAACCCAGCATACTCGTTTCCCCCCTCTTCTCCTTCGCGCCTTGTGCGTTGAAACGCGTTCGTGGCACTCCGCGGCAAGAAAATGTAGGACTAACGAAATTGATCTAAATGAGGGTTACGTATGTCGTAAGTGTCGAACAGCTTCCCTAGCTGCTCGTCAAGCGAAAAGCGGATTTGTTGGCGTTCAAGTTTTCGCTGCTCTTGTCCATGTGACGCGTCCGTGCCATCCATCCGCTGCACCCTCCCCAATGCTCGCCCTTCATGATATCCATCGCCCCCCTCCGTTCCCCTCCCCCTATTGCCTTCCTCCACCGCGTTCCACCATCGACCTCCGCGCATCCCGCTCTGCTCATCGAGCACCGTCCATCGCGCTCCTGCGCGCGCACTGATTCGCGCATGGTTCGAGCGAATGCACGCCGATGGGCCTCGCTGCCAGCGACGGTCGTTAATGAAGCGCGCGCGCTGCTGCGCCACCTCGTCGTGCCCTGCCGCTCCGCCCACGATCTCCATGCATTATTGCCGATACCCGCCGCTCATTGTGTTGAACCCTTCGCCGCTCACTCTCGCCACTCGCTCTCAGCACATAAATCGCCCCTCGTCCGAAGCTCTCATACTTCGCCTCCCCTTCTGCTCGTTCCCCGTCACCGCCTCGATTCTCTCGCGATCCTGTCCATCCCCCTGTCGCTCGCACCTTGCTCATTCCGCCCGATCGCTCGCAAGCACCAGTGATCGTCGCCGGCCCTACATCGTTTCAACTTTTCCCGCGACTCGAGCTTCGAGGTTGAAGGTCCTTCGCCGTCTCAGCCGTCGCAATGGCTCGGTACGGGCGGCCGTCTGTCGCTGGGCTCGTCGCACTCGTCGCCGGGCTCGCTGCGATCAGCCTCCTCGCGACGCACGCCAGCGCAGGTGAACTCTCTTGCTTCGCGTTCTGCGAAGGCGTTGCAAGAAGCTTCTTCACCCAAGCCCGTGCTTCCAACAGCCAGTACTCACACGCACCCACACCCAACGCGCGCTCACTCACGCTCCTCACCCTCTTTGCGTCAACCACAATGCCCTGTGAGGGCTCGGTCCTTGCAACAACCCGCTTACCTTGCAACAACCCGCTTACCTTGCAACAACCCGTGATTCGCCCACCAGATATGTGTGGCGATACGGAGTGCGGGCCTGTTGCTTGGTGCTTGATCGCCCCGGATGGCAGCACGGAGTGCCGGTGCGATGTGAAAGGATATGCCTTCAACGCCACGGACCAGACGTGCACTGGTGAGTGGTGGCAGTGTGGGCGCGTGAGTGCACGTATGGAGGTGAGCCCACTGCTGCGTGGCTTGGATGCTCTCAGTCACCTGTGCTGTCATGGCGCTCACCGAGGTGCCCGACAAACAAGTTTGCCCAAATAAAGTGTAGGCGCCACGTGTGTATGACATGGCATCGAACTGAGGATTGATATGAACGAATTTGAATGTCGTGTAAGTTGGAGATCTCTCAACGTGCAATGGGCTCACGCCAATCCAAAGCGGTTTGGGCGGAATTGGTTGGGCGGAACGGTCGCAATCAGGTTGTCGATTGGGCACGACATGTAATACCTACCCAAGGGTCGCACACCCAATCTGCGCACAGCACGTGGGGTGGATGCTGCCGCGCTGGACCTACATTGATTGATGCACTTCTTTTCGCTTTAGTTGTCCGCACACCTCCCTGAACGCCATGTCAGGCGGTCACTCGGACAGCGTCCAGAATCCCTGCCACCACTCGCTGTGAGCCTCAGCCTTTTCATTCTTGCTCCTTGCCTTCCTCCCTCCCTTCTTCTTCCCCCCCCCCCTCCCCCCGCGCTCCGCCATGCCCACTGCAGACCCGTGCCCATCAGTGCAGTGTCCAGAGAGGGCAACGTGCTCGCCCAGAGACGGAAAGGGGGAGTGCGAGTGCGAGGCGGGCTACATCATGCAGAACGGCACCTGCACGGGTGAGCTGCTGCCACCTCCTTTTGAGGAAAACCCATTGTCTCCCATTTGACGTTTCTACTGCTGTAACCCCTGCGGGGCAGCCCTGAGAGGCAGCCAGAGAAACTTCATCCAGGTGCTCCCCAACCCTCCTGCCCCCGCTTCCCCTCTTGACTCTGCATGCGGCTCCCTTCCCCTTGGTCTGCAACAACTCGACGGCGTGCAACGCCCATCACCACCGCCACAACATGCCACACCCACGCCACGCGCAACTGGCGCCACGATGCAGACGGCTTGCTGCAGACGAGGGTGGTGCTGGAGGGCCGCGACGACACGGCGCTGCTCACCTTCGAGAGCCCCGTGCCCATGGCGCGCGCCACTGGCGCCACCGCCTGCACCAACGTGAGCGAGCTGGGCGGCAGCAGCACGCGGATCAGCGTGGAGTGGACGTCCATTGGTGTGCACACGGCGGGCGACGGCATGTGCAAGAGCGTGTCGTTCCACGCCGACCCGCTCTGTGCCGACAAGCCGGGTTTGACCATCGCCCGCCCTGCTGTGACCAAGATCGGCGGCTTCTTCCCCATCACGGATAGGTGAGCCACGGTGCCGTGCAATGGGCAGTGGGGTTTCTTATGCAGTGTGGACGCCACAATCATTCTGTTCATGTGTCAACGGTGTGCTCGTCTGTGCTCTGCCCTGCCCTTGCCTTGCCACTCTCAGGACTGTGAAAGCAGCCCCGCCTCAATCAGTCAGCTGCGAGATCAGTAAGTGGGAGGGCAGAGACTTGTTTCATTTGTCAAGGCCGCATGCACTTAGCCCCAGGCATGTTTGCCTGCACTGTGAATGCATCAAGTGCACATTGCCAACGAGGTTCAAGCACCTTCACCTCTGTGTTGGGTGAGCACCTTCATCGCTGCACTTTATTCATTCTCCACCTCCACGTACCATGCCATGCCTCGTTTCACCCCTTCCCCCTGCGTGCCTGGCCGTGTGCCCCTCGGTGCTGTCAACATCAGCCACGTGTCACAAGGACTGCGGCACTGCACAGTGCGTGGTGAGGGGCGGCGTGTCCGAGTGCAAGTGCCCGTGGAGCCAGGTGTTCGACGACGCTCTCAAGCGCTGCACCAGCAAGTCGCCCAGCACTGGTACGTGTCTCTCTCTGGAAAATGTCTCTGTCTCTCACCACTCGTAAGTGTCAAAGTCTGCTCTTGCATGCACCCAACCACAAAATATTATCCCGTCAGCCCTTGTTGTATGCAGGTAAATATATCCTTCTTCTTTCACCAGCCCTAAGTCTCACCTCCTCTCTCCCCCACCCACGGCAGACCCAGACCCCAGCGGAGGTGCGGGCCCGTGTGAGGCAGTGAAGTGTGCGAGGAACTCGCAGTGCGTGGCGAGGAACGGGCAGCCCACGTGCGCGTGTGACGCCGGCTACACCAAGGCCAGCAAGGGCCTCTGCACTGGTGAGCTCAGCTAGGGCCGTCTGCACTGGTGAGCTCAGCTTGGGCCTCTGCTCCTTATTCCGCTTTTAAAGCAAGAGCTCCAGAGGCAGCACACGAAATGACAATGCTTCATGTCAGTCCAGCTTGTCAGTCCAGCTTGTCAGTCCAGCTTGTCAGTCCAGCTTGTCAGTCCAGCTTGTCAGTCCAGCTTGTCAGTGCGCTATTTTGTGTCGTCCTCTTCGCCCTCACATAAATGCTCCTTCCCCCTCCTCGTCTGCTGCCCCACTCAACCTCGTGCTCCTGCCCCTCTCCGCCACGCACCACCTCGCACCCGTACCAGCCATGTGCAAGCCGGGCTGCCCTGCCAATGGCCAGTGCGTGGTGGTGGGAGGGAAGCCCCTGTGTCGCTGCAAGGCGGGCTTCCGACAGTACGAGAACGAATGCATACGTAAGGGCCAAGTTGCGAGGGAGAGAGAACCCCTGTTGTATCTCCCTCGTATTCCTACCCCTCCACTGCTCAATCTCTTTCCTCTCTCATGATGTTTGCGAGGAGAGCTGGTCTCCTCCCAACATCATGAGTCGGTCTCTCTCTTGCCGCCATGAGTCGGTCTCACTCGTCTCCTTCATCCGTCTTGCCATCATGCTGTATTCCATCTCTCCTCCCCCCCTCCAACTTTCCCTCTCTTGCACGCACCCCACCCACTCGACAGCGGTGTGCAAGCCTCTCTGCGGTGGCAATGCGCAGTGCGTGGCGGTGAAAGGCAAGCCGGCGTGTGAGTGCATCGCGGGGTTCAAGATGACCAACAGCAAGTGCACACGTAAGAGCGGCGGGCACAACTACGCTCTCCTCGACTTGTACTCACTCCCACGAATTCCACACCCCACCTGCACCTGTGAAGACGCATGTGTGAATGACGCTTTTGCCATCTGTGCTCGCTGTTCTATAATGTAATCCCATCGGTTCTTCCCCGCTCATCCTCCATTCTTCCCATCTCTCACACCCACCCCACCCACTTGACAGCCGTGTGCAAGCCTAGCTGCACCGCCAATGCCCAGTGCGTGGCGGTGAAGGGAGCGCCGATGTGTCAGTGCAGCACGGGGTTCAGGATGGTCAGCAACAAGTGCACACGTAAGAAGAGGGAGACAAATTTGCTCCAGTAAAGGCCATTCTCCTCCCAGTAAAGGCCATTCTCCTCCCAGTAAAGGTCATTCTCCTCCCAGTAAAGGCCATTCTCCTCCCAGTAAAGGCCATTCTCCTCCCAGTAAAGGCCATTCTCCTCCCAGTAAAGGCCATTCTCCTCCCAGTAAAGGCCATTCTCCTCCCAGTAAAGGCCATTCTCCTCCCAGTAAAGGCCATTCTCCTCCCAGTAAAGGCCATTCTCCTCCCAGTAAAGGCCATTCTCCTCCCAGTAAAGGCCATTCTCCTCCCAGTAAAGGGCATTCTCCTCCCAGTAAAGGCCATTCTCCTCCCAGTAAAGGCCATTCTCCTCCCAGTAAAGGCCATTCTCCTCCCAGTAAAGGGCATTCTCCTCCCAGTAAAGGCCATTCTCCTCCCAGTAAAGGCCATTCTCCTCCCAGTAAAGGGCATTCTCCTCCCTATCTCCCACAACCTTCACCACCCATTTGCACACATAACTACAGTCTTTGTTCAAGACAATTGTGCTGTCTATGCTCACTGTGCTACATCCCCCTCATTTTCATTCTTCCCATCTCTCTCACCTACCCACCCACCTGACAGCCGTGTGCAAGCCTGGCTGTGGTGCCAATGCCCAGTGCATGGCGGTGAGAGGGAAACCGGCGTGTCAGTGCAGCACGGGGTTCCAGCTGGTCAACAACAAGTGCACACGTACCGGTAAGAGCGAGGGGCTCCTTTGCTCAGCGCCAGTTAACTCCATGCGCTTTCCTCCTCTCTCGCAACATCTACCACCCCAACAGCTTTGCATCCTACAGTCTTGCACCGTAACATAGCCCACCCACTGTCCACGTATTCTTCTTAGTATCTTTCCTTTTTTATGATCTTGATTCTTCCATTTCCGAAGGCATTCCTTGGAGTCTCATGCTGCTGTGCTCTTCCAACCCATCCATCCACCCACCCAGCAAAATGAGCTGGTTACTCCTGAAGGCGATTGAAACCAAGCCTTCAAAATGTGTGTTGAAGGGGCAGTGCTACTTAATAACGAAGTAGAGGTGTGAGCGAATGCATGCTGTTGCTCTGGAGGCAGGATTTGCCGCTGTGTGTTGGGTGCTTGCGCTGGTGTATTCTGTGTGTGTTGTGTTCTTATGCTTGTACCGTATCTTTTCTTGGCATGTTAGGTTCTTCGTTTCCAGTGCTTCATTCCACATCTCGCTTGGGTTGGGGGAACAATGTTATTAATCTGGATTAGCGATCATGTGAATGACGAAGTGAAAATACCAATGATAGATAGCTTCATCACCCGGATATAAGACAGGGGGTGTTTATTATCCGAGTGTCTCTTATAAACGGGGTAGCCTTATTATAAGACACCTATTTTGTGTGTACTAGTTAAGCCAGTGTAGGGGTTAGGGGCAATTATATAACGAGGGGGTATCTTCAAAACGGTTTCTTGTCCATTTATAAGACTTATAAGACACCCTAAACCGTCCCAAATACAAGACAACCCAACCATTTTTGCCCGTGTACGAGATAAGACATACGGTACCGTATATGTCTTATATTCGGGCGATGACGGTAGGAATTCAATACACTAGCCTTGTACGCAAGCTTAGCCTACCCGTTCCAAAAGCAACATGAAATTGTGGAGTTCGGCTGAGCTTAGTGGGTTAGTAGTAATCCACATTGGTCTAATAAACATACCGTATCACCCAGGATATAAGCGCATGCCATGATAAGCGCATGCGCTTGTATCCGGAGCGCTACCGTCACCCCCCGGATATAAGCGCCACCCTAGGATAAGCGCCTGGCGCTTCTAATTGGCATATGGCGCTTATATCCACTCCTCGATTATAAGCGCACCCCCTGAAAAAACTTGTTTTATTATAAGCGCACGTAAACTTGTAAAAATTGAAATGTGTTCAAAACGCTGTAACGATTTTTACTTTAGCAGGCGGATATGTTGCAGATTCGGTTCCCTTCACATTCGGACCCTACACTGGATGCAGGTCCAGTCAGCAGGAGCTGTCAGGAGCTGTCAGGAGCTGGATGTGAGTCAGATTGGGTGTATCTCCCAGCGCGCGCGATAATTTCACAGACGACCCCATGTAACTTCGACTCGATTGAAAAGGCAAGCACGAGACCTCCAGTTTGGTGTTAAAATATATAAAAAAATATATATGTCATTTTATAAACGCTGGCGCTTATAAATGTACTCGATTATAAGCCCACCCCCCTGAAAAAACCTGTTTTATTATTGCCCCCCATGGGGGTATATCCGGGGGGAGACGGTATGCTCATGGCCGAAATTCAATAATAAGCGCACCCCATGTAGAACCCTGACTTATCATAAGCGCATATATAATTTCTAGTCTAGAACGAACACATTTCAATATGCAGCGAGTCCAATTCGCTTTTCTCTTCGTTTGACTTTCGAGGCCCTCACGGGCAACGCGTTCAGTCACATGAGCTTGTGCGCTGCCTCATGTGCCTCATAATCTATACTCGCCCGAACCTAGCTTTTCCTCTCAGCACCCTAGCTCGCTTTGTTGCGACTTGGAGGCATCGTTCTCCTCACTGGACGGCAGCTGTGAGGGTAGCGAAGTACATGGCAACTACATCACGCACGGGACTACCATTCCCGCCGACGCGTGCCTCAAATTGACCACCTAATATGCTCGTACGACTTTAACTTTCGAAGTTCCAAGCTCAACCTAATGACCTCGCCCTCCAAACATCCCTCGCGTCGCCTTCGGGTTTTCCCAACCTCGAACCTGCACCCTGTTAACGGGAGAGGAGTATTGGCCCCTGTCAAACGTTATATCTACTATACATGTTTAGGCTGTAGTGGGGTAGCCAATATGGGGTACAGCCCAGTTTAGGGTTTCATATTTGTACCCAACTCTTCCATAGTTCAATCATTCCTGCTGCTAGATTCTAACATGGTTTCAGAGCACTAGGTCCGTAGGACCGTTTTTTTTTTTTTTTTTTTTGTTCGGGCCCACCTACCGTTGCGGTAACCACGCTACCCCACGTATTGTCGTGCGCCTGCCTGCCTGCCTGCCTTGCCTTGTGACGTGCTGCGCTGCGCGCGCCGTCCTGCAGCCCTCGCGCTGCCTACTGCTGCCCTAGGCCAGCGCGCCGCCCCTGCAGACCCGTACGGCCCGCGCGCCGCCCCTACAGCCTCGTAAGGCCCGTGCGCCGCCCCTGCAGGCCCGTCAGGCCCGTTAGCCGCCCCTGCAGGCCCGTCAGGCCCGCGAGCCGCCCCTGCAGGCCCGTCAGGCCAGAGCGCCGCCCCTACAGGCCCGTCAGGCCAGAGCGCCGCCCCTGCAGGCCCGTCAGGCCCGCCAGCCGTCCCTGCAGGCCCGTCAGGCCCGCTAGCCGCCTCTGCAGGCCCGTCAGGCCCGCGAGCCGCCCCAACAGGCCCGTCAGGCCAGGTCGCTGCCCCGCGCGTCGCGCCCTCTGCCCGCGCGTCGCGCTGCAGCCCCGCGCGTCGCGTCCGCTGCCCGCGCGTCGCGCTGCAGCCCTGCGCGTCGCGCCCGCTGCCCGCGCGTCGCGCTGCAACCCCGCGCATCGCGTTCGCTGCCCGCGCGTCGCGCTGCAGCCCCTCGCGCCGCGTTCGCTGCCCGCGCGTCGCGCTGCAGCCCCGCGCGCCGCGCCCGCAGCTCGCGCAGCGCGCTGCAGCCTCGCGCGCCGCGGCTGCCCCTGTTCCTCGCGGCTGCCCCTGGACGCCGCCCTGCAGCAGCTGCCACCGTCGCTCCTGCAGCAGCTGCCACGGAGCGCCCTGCCACAGTCGCGGCCCTGCCCAGCAGCAGCTGCCGCGGAGCCTTCTGCCGCCGTCGTGGCCCTGCCCTGCAGCAGCTGTCGCGGAGCCTCCTGTCGCGGTCGCGGCCCTGCCCTGCAGCAGCTGCCGCGGAGCCTCCTGCCGCGTTCGCGGCCCCGCCCTGCAGCAGCTGCCGCGGAGCCTTCTGCAGCTGTCACGGCCCCGCCCTGCAGCAGCTGTCGCGGACCTGCCCTACCACCGACGCGGCCCTGCTCTGTCGCAGCTGTAGCGGCCCCGCCGTCGCCGCCGTCGTGCTCCTGCCCTTCCCGCCACTGGTGAGCACCTACATTGTTCGTGCGCTGCCGCCTTCCTGCCTGCCGGCCTGCCTGCCTGCCTGCCTGCCGCGCCTGCCCTGCACGCGCTGCTGCTGCTACTACTGCTATTGCTACTGCTACTGCTACTGCTGCTACTGACGGTGGCCAGATGCAGCTCCAGCGACGTCCGCGTGAGTCCCTCACGCCCCGGCAGCTTAGTGAGTGGTACGCTAGTTGGGGTTGTAGGGGTGGCCGCGCTGCTACTGCTGCTACTGCTGCTACTGCTGTTACTGCTGCTACTGCTGCTACTACTGCTACTGCTGCTACTGGCGGTGGCCAGATGCAGCTCCAGCGACGTCCGCGCGAGTCTCGCACGCCCCAGCAGCTTAGTGAGTGGTACGCTAGTTGGGGTTGTCGCGGTAGCCGTCGTAGCTGTCGCCCTAGAGTTGGTCACTTGGGAGAGTCTGGCAGTGGCCAGCTGCAGCTGCAGCGGCGTCCACGCGAGACAGTTACGTCCCAGCAGCTTCACGAGTGGTACGCTCAGAGTAGAGGGTTTCTGAGTACCGTTCGCTGCCCGTACGTCATTCGCACTGGTGCTCGGACTGGTCAGGCTTGCGGGACGCTCAGTCACACAGAGTCCCGCTGCTTCGCCCGTCTGAGCGACGCCTGGCGTACCGAGTTTGGCGAAGAGGCTGAGCTCCCCGACTGGGTGGAGCTGCTTGGGCAGAGGGTAGATATATTTGCTCTTGACTATGATGCTATTCTCACTGCCATGTATGCATTGCCTACTAGTGCTGACCGTGCCTGTTACCTGTGCGTACCGCCTGACCCAGGTATAGAGCCTGCTGCTCTAGGTGCTGGTGAGGCTGTTGCTCTAGGGGCTAGTGTGTCTCCTGCTCTAGGTACGGGTGAGACTGCTGCTCCAGGTGCTGGTGAGTCTGCTCTCTCTGGTACTGCGCCTGCTCAGGCCTTGTACACCTTCACACTTGACTCTGGTGCTTCTCGCTCCTTCTTTCGCGACAGCACCACCCTCACGCCGCTCAGTCGGCCGGTTCCAGTCTCTCTGGCAGACCCCTCTGGGGGTCCAGTCCGTGCGACCTCTTCCACTGTCCTCCCTTGTCCTGCTGTCCCGTCCGGCACACTGTCGGGTCTTCACCTCCCCTCGTTCTCTACGAACTTGGTGGCGGGTTCTGCGCTCCAGGACGCGGGTGTTCACCAGTTCACCCCTGCCTACGAGCGTGTGACACACTGCACGTGTGCTCAGACGGGTCGTCACCTGGCTACCTTCACTCGGCAGCCGGGGTCGGGCCTGTACACACTGACCCCTGAGTCACCTCAGGTAGCTGCGTCGGCGTCTGCGTCAGGTCAGTTGTCGGCCCCCTGCTCGTGTCGCGCCTTGTCGCACCAGACCCTCCTTTGGCACCACCGCCTTGGTCACCCCTCGGTGCAGCGCCTTCGCAGCATGCACCCCCGTGTCCTTGTCTCTGGTCTTCCCAGGGTTCTCCCTCCCCTCCCACCCTCGCCTGCTCCTCCTTGTCTTCCCTGTGTCGAGGGGCGGCAGCGCGCCGCTCCTCACTCCTCCTCGTTCCCTCCCACAGAGGCTCCCCTGCAGACTCTCCACTTGGACGTGTGGGGCCCAGCCC